CATAAGCACCATCGTCGTCGTCGCCATCATCACCAGCACCAGTATACGCGTAAGCAGAATCATCATACTCACACTAATCATCACCATGCTCATCACCAGTACCATCATCATCATCAGCATCATCAGAATCAGCATCATCATCATGGTCAGCATCGTTGCCGAAACCATCATGACCACCATCACCATTAACATCATCATCAACAACAGCATCACCATCACCACCACCGACACAAACACCATCCCCATTATCGCTATCACCATCGTGAGCAGCGTCATCAGCATTCATCATCATTATTCATACTCGTCATCACCATCATAGTCGCCGGCGTCATCGCCATCACCACCATCCTCATTAACACACTCACCATCGTCAGCAACAGCAACAGCAGCATCGTCATCACCACCACCGCCACAATCATGATCATCGCCATCATCAGCGTCATTATCATCAGCATCATCATCATCACCACCATCACCATCACCACTATCACCAGCATCATCATTCCCCACTTTGCACCAAAGAATTATCGGGGAACCGCTCACTTCTCTCCCCTTGCGCCAGAGAGGGGAGAGGGGGGGTGCGGCACACGGGGTGGGAACGGCGCGCGCTCCGGCGCATACTATGGGTCGTCAGGGTTACGGTGTTAAGGTTAGGGCGAGGATTTTAGAGGTAGGGTGTGATGGGTAGGGCGTTCAGGGTAGGGTGTTCGGGGTTGGGGTTTTAGGGTTGGGGAGCAAAGGTGTGAGGGTCAGGGTGTTGGCGTCCGGGCTGAAGCTTCAGAGTGGTAGGATTCGGCTCAGGGCGATAGTGTGCTAGGGGTAGGGCTAGCGCGTGAAGGTTAGAGTGGTACCATTCAGGCTAGGGCGCTTTTGGGTTAGGGCACTTAGAGTTAGGATTCGAACATTGGGGTTAAAGTGTTAGGGTGTGAGGATGCGGGGTAGGGTGATAGCGCTGGGGTGCTCAGGGCTGGGGCGTGCGCATCAAGTCTAGGGTTTTAAGGTCACCTAGTGCTTTCGCGGGTCATTCCCTCCCGCCCTAAGCCCTTCCCATAAGATCGACCTATGCTTGTTTCGCGGCAATGCGGCCTTGCATCCTCAGCACTTTCCGAGCACAGCTGGAGGTGAGGATGAATCAGTTGCTGCTGCTGCTGCTGCTGCTGCTGCTGCTGCTGCTGCTGCTGCTGATGGTAGCGACCGCGAGCTTGGGAGCGCTTGGCTTGGGGAGTGATTGGAGCGTCTGGGAACGCCTGGGAGCGTCTGGGAGCGCCTGGAGCAGCCTGGAGAGCGCAGGGGTCCAAAATCAGAGTCGGGGAGGGGTGCCCGAAACGTATCGATTCAGAAGGTAGCCGCTATCAAAGAATTGATCTGTCTTCCGCGAAATCCTGGGCACCCTTCGGAGCCAGGGAGACGGTAGGTGTTAAATCAGCTGATGTGAGCCGGATGGTATACTTGTGCATACGATGGTGACGGCTGGATCGATGTTAAAATCTGCAGATGTGCACCGAACGACATGTTTTGAGTAGAATGCTGAATCCTGGGCCGCTGTGAAAATCAGCCGGTGTTCACCAAACGGTGTTGTTTGCCAAAGATACTGAGGGTTCGGCGTGAGATAAAACAATGTTGAGATCAGCCGAGGGGCACGACCCGTGTGCGGGCACAGGGATCACAAGGGTTCGGAAGAGCCGATGTGCACCGCATAGCATTTGTTGCTTAAGATCGTGGCACAGGGATCGTCTACTGATGCGAAGCTCCGGAAATTTCCGCGCCATACCAATCTGGAATAGATTCGGATCGCGATAAAATGACCTGAAAATCAGCCGATGTGCACCACGTCCGATTGTTGGCAAGGGATCGCAAAGAGCGGCTTGGCCCCGGCCCGTGTGGACCCGGTCGGGGTCCGACCGGGGCCTGGTGGAAGGATCAGATTAGAGACTTAGTGCGCCAAGGGTTAAGGTTACGGTGTCAGGGCTAGGGTGTCAGAGTTAGGGTGTTGGGGTGCTCGGGGCTAAGTCTGTAGGGTCATAGGAGTAGACGTTCGGGTACGTTGCTCGGATTGGGGCTTCATAGCATTCAAAATCAGGGTCATGGTATTGATATGTTCTAGGTAGAGCTGGTGTGCCACGGTTGGGGCATTAGGGTTAGAGCGTCCGCAAGTCAGGGTAATTGGTTTGGGTCAGGGCGCTAATGTGTTCGGATTAGATCTAGTGTCTTAAGCTTAGGATATTCGGCTTTAGCGTCAGACTGTTGGGATTAGGCTGCTTGGGGCTCTAGGGTTAGGGCATTCGGGTGTTAGGGTGTAGGTCAAGAGTAAGGTTAGGATGTTTAGGGTTGGGGTGGGGTGGGGGGGTCGGATTGGGGTCGGGGTATTCGGGATTGGGTGTTAGGATGTTTGGGGTTAGGGCTTCAGGGAATTAGGGTGAGAGTGTGCAGGGTTGGGTGGCGGGGGTAGGGAGATTAGGGTAAGGGTGTGGATGTTAGGCTTAGGGTGCTTAGGGTGTTTGGATGTCAGGATCAGGGTATCAGGCTACTATGGGTAAGTGTGTTAATGTTGGTGTGTTAGGCTTAGGGTGTCAGGGCTTGGGTGTTAGGGTGTTAGGGTGTTAAGGTGTTAGGGTCAGGAGGCTAGTATATCAGGTGTAGGGCTATGGTGTGAGGGTTAGGATGCTTAGGGCCAGGGCCAGGGTGTTAAGGCTTGGGTGTCAGGGTCATGTTTAGAGTGTAAGATTTAGAACGGTATGTGTTAGCGTGCTGGTGCTAGTGTTGGGGTCGGGGTTAAGGTGTTAGGAGTGGGCGTTCGGGTGTTAGGGGTCAGGGTGTTAGGGGGTTAGCGTGTTAGGGTAGGGTTAGTAATGTTCGGGTCAGGTGTTAGGATCAGGGTGTTTGTCTTGGGGTGCTTGAGGAAACATGGGGAATGCTCCCCAGAGGGGGTCGAGGGGGGGGGCCTGACTTCGGTCGGCAGGGAAGGGCAGTCTGAGATGATGATGGGTCGGAAGGGGTCTGAGACGGCAAACCGGGAAAAACAGCGGGAGACTGGGCGAGGTGCAGCCCCTCTCCCCTCCTCGTGATCGCCCTCCTCATCCCCCCGCTCCTTCTTTCCCACCGGGGCTCTCGCTGGGCACCTGCCCGAGCTTCGTGATCCTCCCTCTTCGTATCCCTCCTCCTCCTCCTCCTCCTCCTCCTCCTCCTCCTCCTCCTCCTCCTCCTGCTCCTGCTCCTGTTGCTCCTCCTCCTCCTCCTCCTCTCCTCCTCCACCTCCTCCTCCTCCACCCCCCCTCCTCCTCCTCCTCCCCCTCCTCCTCCCCCTCCTCCTCCCCCTCCCCCCTCCTCCCCCCGTCCTCCCCCCCTCCTCCTCCTCCTCCCCCTCCCCCTCCCCCTCCCCCTCCCCCTCCCCTCCTACCTCCCCCTCCCCCTCTCCCTCCCCTCTCCCCTCCTCCTCCTCCTCCTCCTCCTCCTCCTCCTCTCCTCCTCCTCCTCCTCCTCCTCGTCCTCCTCCTCCTCCTCCTCCTCCTCCTCCTCCTCCTCCTCCTCCTCCTCCTCCTCCTCCTCCTGCCTCCTCCTCCCTCCCCCTCCTCCTCCTCCTCCTCCCTCCTCCTCTTCCTCCTCCTCCTCCTCCTCCTCCTCCTCCTCCTCCTCCGCCTCCTCCTCCTCCTCCTCCTCCTCCTCCTCCTCCTCCTCCTCCTCCGCCTCCCCCCCCTCCCCCTCCTCCTCCTCCTCCTCCTCCTCCTCCTCCTCCTCCTCCTCCTCCTCTCTCCTCACTCCTCCTCCTCCTCCTCCTCCTCCTCCTCCTCCCTCCCCTCCTCGCCTCCTCCTCCCCCTCCTCCTCCTCCTCCCCTCTCTCCTCCTCCTCCTCCTCCTCCTCCCCCTCCTCCTCCCTCCTCGCCGGAGGAGCGCAGGGACAGCTCTCGTCAGGATGGGGCTCGCCAGAGAGCCGGCAGGGCCACGGGGCGCCCGCCATTGCAAGTGGGGGAGAGCTCCCCACAGCGAGGGGGGAAGGCCTGGAGGGACTCCCTCCCCTCCCTCCTCCTCCTCCCCCTCCTCCCTTCCCTCCATCCCTCCTCCCTCCCTCCCTCCATCCCTCCCTCCCTCCCACTCCCCTCCCTCCTCCCTCCCTCCCTCCCTCCCCTCCCTCCCTCCTCCCTCCCTCCCTCTCCCTCCCTCCCTCCCTCTCCTCTCCCGTTCTCCCCCTCCCTCCACCCTCCTCCCCTCCCTCCACTCCCGCCCTCCCTCCTGACTGGACTACTGCACTGACCACTGTAATTGCAACTCCCTGCAACTACACTGCACCAATGCTCGCACGAGAATGCTGATACGTGTTTTTCACACCTGCCGCACCCCACTGCAGTGTGCGCGTCTGGAGGCTAAACGCTTGAGCGTCGACCTAAAGCTTGGCAGGCCTCTCGCACGAATGGCTTGGGATCGAGCCAACATGCGCTGCAGCATGGCCGTACCCTGTCAAGAAAAACGAAAAAAGAACGAGCCCTGGATGTTTAAAATCTCCCTCCCTCCTCCTTCCCTCCCTCCCTCTCTCCCTCCTCCCTCCTGACGAGGAGAGCCTTCTGCGACGGAAGACTGCCATGCAGCATCGCTGCTGCGTCCGCAGCCATGTCTGGCCCCCCGAGGCCGCCCACGGCGACAGCAAGACCGCAAACCGAAAGAACCGACAGCGAAACCGAAACCGACCGAACTCGACAGGCCGCAGGCAGCCTAGAGAAGCGCAGCGACGCGGCAACGACACCACAACTGACCGAACCGAACCGACCGAACGCAACCGGCTGCGACGCGGCCGAACCGACCGAACCGCGAACACCCCCGTCCTCCTCCTTCACTCGCCTGCTGGCGCTTGCGAGGAGGTGCCCTGGGACAGGAGGGTGCCCTTGCAGCAGCGTTGCTGTACCCTCGGCTTGTTTCTGGTCCTTCGCAGCACTCGCTCCCATGCTCGCTCCCGCCGCTCGCCCCGTCATGCGTCACAATGCGTGTGAGGAGTCGGGGCGCGCGGCTGCCTCCAGGGCCTCCTGCCTCTTGGCCTCGTCAACCTCTCGGCCGGGCAGGACAGCAAGAAGGAGGAGGAGGAGGAGGAGGAGGGCGAGGAGGAGGAAGGAAGGAAGGAAGGGAGGGAGGGAGGGAGGGAGGAGGTAGGGAGGAGGGAGGGAAGGAGGCAGGGAGGGAAGAAGTGAGGGAGGGAGAAGGAAAAGGGAGAGGACAGGACCGAAAATGGGAGGAACGATGAGGAGAACGACGAGAAGGGCGAGGAGAGATGAGATGAAGATCAGGAGGAGGAGGAGGAGGAGGAGTGCAACGAGACAGGGCGCGAGTCGTCGTCGTTGCCCCTGATGATGATGATGATGATGATGATGATGATGATGATGATGATGATGATGATGATGATGATGATGATGATGACGATGATGATGATGATGATGCTGATGCTGATGATGATGATGCTGATGCTGATGATGATGATGATGATGATGATGATGATGATGATGATGGTGATGATGGTGATGATGGTGATGATGATCAGAATCATCATCAGCAGCATCAGCATCAACATCATCATCAGCAGCATCGTCATCATCATAATTATCATCATCATCAGCAGCAGCATCAGCATCAGCATAAGCATCAGCATCACCATTAATCATTATCATTATCTGTCTCATTATTCGCATTAGCATGATCATTCGCTGTATCTTGTTTGTTTGAACGAGGAGACCTTGGCGACTTAAACTCATATGCCCTTGAGCGAGCGCCCCTGACCCAAGCAAATGACCCACTCGCAATGCCACTAAAAATCGTGAGACGAGGCCGGCACGAGAAGGAAGGAGGAGGACGACGAGGACGAGGACGAGGAGGAGCGGAAGGCACGCTCGACGAGCGACCTGGGCCGCCTGCGTGCGACGGGAGCCCCGGGCTGTGAAGGAGCAGCCGCCGGCAGCCCTCCATCCGTGTAAAAGCATCACTCACATCGCCGCCAAAGCCGCGAAGCGCGGCCGGAAAGATGGGCAAGGAGGAGGGGCAAGGAGGAGGAGGAGGAGGAGGAGGAGGAAGGACTGCAGCGGCAGCGCCTGCACGGGCGCACGGCAGGACACTTCGCGCCAGCACTCGGCCTCTGGGCCCAGAAGAGGAGGGAGAAGACGAGAGTCGGGGATGGACAGACCCCCCTTTAGCAAAACGTGGCTTAGTGAAAACGACCTGAGGCCCAAACCGGGCGAGCGCAAGCCTGGAAAATAACGGCCACGGCGCCATCTCGAGGACCGAGAACGGACAATTCACTAATCGACGTGTCACTGTTGGGGGTTCTGTCCACCCCCGAGAGAGGGGAGGGAGGGAGGAGATAGAGGGGCAGCAGCGCCTACCATGATGCTGCCGGGCAGCCCCGGAAACCGTGCGCTCCTCGCAGCAGCCGTTTCAACAGCACGGCGCGGGCCCCGCCAGGGGGCTCCCGGCAAAAAATCACCACGCGGGGACACTCGGCCTCCGGGCCCAGGAGGGAGGAGAGACGAAACGAAGAGGAGGAGGGAGGGAGGGGGAAGGGGAGGATTACTCCTCGTCGTCGTCATCGTCATCGCCAACGTCATCACTATCGTCATCACCATCATCACCATCATCATCACCACCACCATCATCATCATCACCACCATCATCGTCGACGTTACAATCATCATTAGCATCATCATCATCATCATCATCATCATCATCATCATCATCATCATCATCACCATCATCATCACCATCACCACCACCATCACCATCACCATCATCATCATCAGCAGCAGCATCAGCATCATCATCATCCTGATCATCATCATTATCATCATCGTCAGCATCATCAAGAGCATCATCAACAGCACCATCAACACGAGCAGCAGAAGCGGCAACAGCAACAGCAACAGCAACAACAACGACGACAACAACAACACCAACAACAACAAAAACAACAGCCGCAGCAGCAACAACAATAACAGTGCCTGAGTGTCGGGAGCGCGGCGCTTGAGTAAATTGCGGTGAATTCCAACGCAAGGGCGCGATTCTTAAATATATTGCAAGCAACTCTCCAGCGAGAGCGCGACTCTGGAGCGCCGAGAAAGCGATTCCTGTATAAATTATAAGGAGGTCCTAGGCGAGAGCGCGATTCCTGCATGAAATGCGAGGAAGTCTCAGGCGGGAACTGGAGTCCTGAGGAAGTCTCAGGCGGGAGCCGTTGTTGTTGTAATCCGGAGCCAATAACGCAGTTTGACCCTGGTGACTTGTCCTGATAAAAACAAACAGGGTGCGAATCCCAGGGGAAGCACTTCAAATGAAAAAAACACAATGGTCACCGAAGGGGGGCGATCAACAACAATGATTCTTCGGTAGTGAGAGTTCAACAGCAAGCACAACTGATGCCATCAGCATGATCGCGGCGACGCATGGGCGGCGGCGCTGCCTCGGCAAGGGACCGATATTGCGCCATCCCTCGGCTGCTAGCCTAGGGGGCCTGGCTAAAGTGAGGGCCTGCTCACTCCAGCCACAACCTCTTGGCCAATCGACGCTCTGGAACGGACCTCACGGCGCTGCAGGAATAGTCCAGCCCGTGTCTAATCGAAAAGGCCGGAGGATCGAGCGGACAAAAACCTCTTGTGGAGCTTGGGTTGATCCCCTGCGCGAGCAGGAAGAGGAACTTTTAGCGGGATCTGTCTAAAGCACCTTGCGGGCACACAACACTTGAAAGTTCCGCCCTCTTGCTGCCGAAAGCGCCGCAGTCGCAACACCAAGCCACTGATCCACCTCTAAGCCAGAGCCGGTGCGATCTGTGAACAGTGCGCGCCACGTGGGCAGGGGGGGCGCATGGGAATGTTGAAACGCTAGCTTTGGAGGGCCCTCTCTCCCCGCAAAGGATGTACTTACAATGCTTGCCAAACTCCTCTACGGCATGCCCTTTGTCATCGGGTACCAGCTCGAGTACACACACACACACTTTTTCCTTGCGACGAGGAAGCCACATCTTGGCGACATCGGGCAACCCAGAGTCCCCAAGCAAATCCATCGCTTCAGCAATTAGCCAAACACTCTGTCGAACCTTGGCGATCGCCTCCACACGGTGAGCCCTAATGTAGGGATACTCGGAGCCCACCATGGCTCCCAACTCAATTAGTTCGTCCGCCTTCTTGTTGCCATACCAAGCCCAGGCCTCGCGGTCTTTCTGACAGCCCGAGTGAGGGTGAGGTGAGACTTCACCTTGACGAACCTACTGGAGTCCCAGCAGTGGTCAACCCACTCCAGACGACCTCAGACCAGAGCTCTGGGTGGGCTAACTTCTCGGCGTCCTGCGGTGGGGCCTTGATTCACACGTCGATCAGCATTCTGCAGTCAGTGCAGTGGGTCAGCCCGCCTGGCACTGCAAGCCTAAGACACATCAACAATCTGCAAGTCTCTCCACAACCCGAGGCCTGAACAGGGTGGGGAAGTGGGCCATACGCAGATCCAACAACGACGATCCGACTCGAGGGCTACGGGCTACGGTAGTTTCGTGCGGCGTCGGCGCGTGCAAACTTTCTAGTCACCGCGTCGGTCGTTCAACCTTGAGCCGATCGCGGCCCCGATCGTTCAAGGTTGAATTCAGTCGGCTGCAATGGCGCCACCGTGCTGCATCGGTGCTTACGCGTCGCAGAGTTCAACCTTGAACGCCTTCGCCGGCGACGCCGGCGCGCCAACGCCACATGAACCTGCCGTATGTGAGAGCTGCGTCAAATACCGCGACCGCCACCCAACCCGCGCTGGAGAACTGCGGGAGAACGGGGCCGAAGCCAGAACCGCCGATACAGAGAAGTCCCGTGAGAAGCCCGCCAAGGGGGCGGACATCCCACGTCCACCCAGGATCCTCCCACGGAGGGGACAACTCCCATTCCTTGCTGGGCACGAACGCCCTCGCAGCCAGGATGCCCTCCTGGTCGTCGAACAAACTCTAGTCCAGGCACAGGTGGGATCGCAGCGGGTCCGAAGCGGCACAACTGTGAAACCGATGCCCTGCTGTACCGTGTTCCGCACCGCACCATTGGCAGCCATCCGTGATCACACCACGGCGATCATCAATCAACGTCGCTTGTGTAGGACATGCCCCTGCTACTACTCCTGCTAACCCCGCTAACGCACTCCACCTCTTCTGCCGTCGCAACTCATCCAGAACCTCCAGAATGGGCTCCAAGATGGGCGCTGCAGCCAGCCCTGGGACCTTCTCAGCCGAACATGATCAGCAAAGGACCAGGTGACTGCGAACGCTCTGCTCCAGAACTGTCTTGCGGGACCTGAACCCGAGATGCTCCATATCGATAGGCACTCCACGACTGGCAGCAAACTCCGAGCAAGATCGGACTGTCCATCCGATCCTCTGGGCTGTGAAAAGGCCTGCTCCTGCTGGCCCTCGCACATCAGCCCAGCCGAAGTTCACTCTGGCACGCGCTGCTTCAAAACATTGTTTCACGACCATGACACTCTTGGCGCCCAACCAAGACGCAACCCTTGACTCCAGGCGAGCATTGGCAGCACGTTCGCATCGTAAGTTGGGTCAGCACGAGGGTTGGGGCTCAACAAAAATTCCAAGGTACGGCAGCGGCCCTTGGCGATTTCAAAGATGGCCTTCCCCAGGGTTTTCCTGAGGATACCCAGCTTCGTCGTAGTCATCCCCCGAACGAAGGTCGCCGACGCCATCCCTCCGACGCGTGCAACATGTATCATCCCCTTGGAGCTACGCCTGAGCCCACGAAGACGCCTCGCGCGGGGCCCTAGCTTCCTAACCCCCCCTCGTGTCCACGAGTTTGGAGATCCCAGGGCCCTTCATCCCCCTCCCCCCCTCGCACTCATTCCCCCTCCTCCACCCCCCCCCCGGAAAGGGCCGCGGGGGGGCGCCTCTTCCTCCGCTTCTACCTGCTTCGCCTCGGGAGCCTGGGCGCCGCGGGGGAGGGGCGCCCCGAAGGACTGGTGGATCCGGAGGGCGGCGGGCGAGGGGGGGGCAGCCTCGCTCAGGAGGAGGACGACGAGAGGGGAGGATCGGCGCCACAGCCAGACGAGGAGGCCAGCCGAGAAGAACAGTTGGCCAAATCCGACCAGCCCTCTGGGCGTAGGGAGTCTAGAGAGGCTCCTCTTCCAACCCCCTTGTTCCCCTTTTTCCCCTTCAGGGAGGGGTTTACCTCTCCCCCTAACCCCACCCTGGACCTGGGCGGGGCGCCCCGCGAGCGGTCAGAAGAATCTAAGATGGCCCAAGACGGCTCCAAGAGGGCCTCAGAGAGCCCAAGATGACTTCCAAGACGGTGCAAGATAACCCAAGATGGCTCAATATGGCTCCCAAGATGCTCCAAGAAGCCCCAAGACCGCTCCAAGACGGCTCCAAGTGGCCACGGAGCCTCCCCAGGAGGCCGCCAAGAGGCCAAAATCCTTATGTTTGCCTTCTCGCCGATTCGCTTCCGATGGCCTTCCGAGGCCTGAAGACAATTCCAAGAGGACACCTGAGGGCCCCAAGGGAGGCCCAAGAGAGCCCCAAGACGGGCCCAACAGCACCCAAGAGCACTCCAAGAGCGCTCGGGGCCCAAGAGGCGATTTCTGGAGCTCCCGAGGGGGGAACGCAATTGGAGCTCCCATCTTTTTTGATCGATCTCCTCCAAGATGGCCCCAAGAGAGCTCCCAAGGCTCCCAAGAGAGAGAGCCCCAAGAGGCGCCCAGGAGGCCCCAGGAGGCGCCCAAGAGGCCTCCAAGCAACTCCCAAGAGACCCCCAAGAGGCCCCAAAAGGGAAAGCGCGCCACTGGATCACCCTGTAATTGAAAAGGGGGGGGTGCTCGCAGAACCCCCCGCCCTCCCCCCTTCAAACGGGGGAGTAAATTTTCGACCCCCCCCCCCTCCCCTCCGCCCTTGAAGGGGGAGGGGTGTTCCGAGCCCCCCCCGCCCCCTCCCCCCCTTGGCGCTGGAAAGGGGGGGACGTCATCGTCGTCGTCATCGTCGTTTTCATCGTCGTCGTCGTCGTCGTCGCCGTCATCGTCGTCGTTGTTGTCGTTCCCTGCGCCACCCCTCTTACATTCCTCCCCGTCCTGCTCGTCCTCCTCCTCCTCCTCGTCCTCCTCCTCCTCCTCGTCCTCCTCCTCCTCCTGCTCCTCCTCCACGTCCTCATCGTCCTCATCCTCCTGATCCTCCTCCTCATTTTCCAACCCCGCCCCCCTCGATCAATATGCCTCCAGCGGTACCACTGGGATACCACTTCAGCCACGAAACATCCGACACACCCCCTTAGCACCAGGGATTCACGCCCGCAAGGATCCACATGACGCTCACGATACCACTTCGGTACTACTTGAAGTCATACCGATTGCACCAACGCAAACACCATACAGTATCCCTATGCCTTCGCAAGGCATCCCACGCACCCCCGAGCAGCATCTAAGAGGCTTTGGAACCCACGACCCAGGCGCGAAGGCCGCTAGATCTCGGGCAGTGTGTCAAGTGCTATGGCATGAAGCCACATGACGCCGCACGCCATGCACGAGTTCACTCCCAAGCAAAACATGCCGCCCAAGACAAACATCGACCCAAACGCCTGCATGCAGCGTCAGAACCCGGGCCCCTTACCTGGGACCTACAACTCGCGCTGTGCCTACATACACCTGCGCCCACAACTACGTCGCTTGTGGGCTCGATCCGGGATCAATGTTGGACGCTCCTGGGCTTCACGTGGGCCCCAAAACAAAACCCAAACGGGCCCCAAACCAGCCCGATGTTCAATGGCATTCCGACGGAGTTGCGACCCAACACGGACGTGCTGTCGCTTCGGCCGTTCAGCGCCCGCCTGAGCCGCATGGGTCCCTGCTTGGCTCTTTTTAGGCAGCGTTCGGGCCGTTGTTGGTTGATCTTGGGCAGTGTCCGGATTATTTCTTGCCTCCTGGTGCGGACAATACGCAAGTGCCCAGAAGAGCCAACGTCCATGTCACTGATCCGCCGGTACTGATGTCGGGACGACGCCCAAACGGCAAATCTACGATCGATGAGCCACGCGACATGCCTAACCCGAATAGGCTATGGATTGGAAACGTCAGTGGAACGCAGACAAAAACAACAAAACACACCTGCGGGGGTCTTGTATGATTTTCCGCAAATGTTCATGCCGCCGTGGAGCCGTCCTCGCCTCGTCCGGCGAGAACTGAAGTGGGCGGGCGGTGAACGCGAAGCGTCTTGAATAACAACCCCTAAGCGCAAACACTGCTTGGGAAGGAAACTCTGGCGAAGGACCCAACCAGATACGGCCGCGAGCAGAGCACGGTATAACCTTCCCCTCGCACGCAGCAGGGGTGAAGCCCAGGGCGACAGCGAAGCCCTCCTGAGAGGGGAAAGGGGGGCCCAGACCTCCAGGCGTCGCTGGCAAACGTCTTCGGGTCCTGGAGCGATCCCAAAACAATCCACGGCGAAGGGCCAGTCCCAAGGATGGGGTCGGGAGCTCTGGGGGCCCACGCCGTGATAACAACGCCAAACAATGTTTGATTCGCGGGTCAAGAGCGCACCTCTTCCGGTGGAAGCTAAGCGGGCCGCGCGAAGCTTGAATTAACCAGAGACGGGGGAGGAAAAGGGGGGCGCAGCCTCAGAACGAGGCCGGGGGGAGGCAAAGCCTCGGAAACGGGCGGGAAAACAACAACGCCAAACAAAGCATGTTGCTTCCAGCAATCCCCACCAAGGAGATTCGGAGCATAAAGATGCGTGTGTGTCTTTAACGTATGTCACTGGTGTCCGCTACCAGTGAATACTATTGATGCGTGCTAGTGTAGTCGTGGTGACTGGTATTGGCGTCGGCGCTTGATCCTTGGCCTGGTGTTTGATATTGATGTACGCGCTCATTGCTGTATGAGCTGGAGCACGTGATTGATATGTTTGTAGATGCGTTGAATATTGGTGGCTGCTCTTGATGCCGAGTAGTGACGCGTGTGATTGGTGAATATTACTGGCGTGCGTGATTGGTGACTGTGGTTGATGTGTGCTGTTGGTGTGTGCCTTTGGTGCACGTGAATGGTGTATATCCTTACCCTAAATGTATGTGATTGGTGCGTACATGTCAAGTGATACTGCCAGTGGTGTCTCGTAGTGGTGCACGCGTTCGATGTATTATTATGATGCCCGTTCTGGACGCATGTTATTGGTGCACGTACTGTTGCGTGGTATGTGTGACAAGTGATGGTGGATTGCATCCATGTGAATGGCGAATGTGTTTGATGTATACCATGTGCGCCTGATGATAGACGGTATTGATGTGCGCATGGTGGCGACTGATCTTGGTGCACAGTACCAATACATGTTTTTTGATGTACGAGACGGATGTATGCCACAATTGTTTGTGATTGATGTATGTGCTTGGTGACTGCCCTTGGTGAATGTTAGTAACGACTATCGCTAGTGTATGTTTCGTGCACGTTACCGATGTACGTTGTTGACGCGCGTTCTTAGTGTCTGCTCTCTTCGCCGATTTTAGATGTCTGTGAACGGCGTGATGACGTGACACCTCGACAGCGCGCCGCCTCCCTGATGGGGTCGTCTGGTAGTTACGCCTGTTCTGTGTGCTTGTCAATGGCGCCCGCGGTACGAAATGCGGCGAGGCTGGATACCTGGCGGCCGCGGTATGCACGGCGACCGCGGCGAGACCCCAAGGGAACACCTAGGATCACCCGGACTGTTGGGGTTTGGCGGCCGCTGCATGCAGGGCGGGCGAGGCGGGTCGGGAACTTTTCTCCTCAAAAACCTAAGTAATGAACCAAACCCGTCGGGTGGGGAAAACACGACGCCAGCGGACGGGGAACGAGGAAGGGAGGGGTGCTCATCGACTCCTCCATCCCCTCCTCCTCTTCATCATCACCGTCATCGTCAACGAAAGGTGGGATGAAAACCGCCTCGGGTGTAGTTTGTCAACCCAGATCCAATTCTGACAGCCCCGGGGCCCGACAACGTTCCCCAGGGACCGAGAGAGTACAAAAACTGGGTCGACCCCAGCATCTCGAACCTCGCCCACCCTCCTGCTCGTTGGAACCAATGCTGAGCCACCTCTGACACCCAGCCGACTCCAACCCTCAGGATCCCTCTTCATGGCGACGACACCCTCCCCCCTGGACGGCACGCAGGCAGGCGCGGGCCGCAGTGGCTGGCTTCTCCTTGTCCTGACGCGCACCAGGGTGGTACGCTGCTGAGGACGGAGACGACGCCGCAAGGTGCACAGGAGCTGGCGATGGCGCAGACGCAGTAGTTAGAGAGAGGAAGGCTGGACAGAGGAGCGGGCAGCCGTTTTGTGCTGACGAGGGCCAATTCGCGGAGCGTCCTCTTCCTCCTCATCCTCCTCCCCCTCCCCCTCCAGTCCTCCTCTTCCTCCTCCGCCTCCTCCTCCTCTCCCTCCTCCTCCTCCTCTTCCTCCTCCTCCTCCTGCTGCTCCTGCTCCTCCTCCACCTCCTCCTCAGCATCATCATCAGCAGCATCATGAGCATCATCATCAGCATCATCAGCAGCACCCTCATCATCAGCATCATAAGCAGTATCATCACCACCATCACCAGCATAACCATAACCATCGTCATCAACGTCATCGTCATCATAATCATCATCGTCACCACCATTCCCACCATCATCAATACCATCCTCACCACCATCATCATCATCATCATCATCATCATCATCATCATCATCATCATCATCATCATCATCATCATCATCATCATCATCATCATCGTCGTCGTCGTCGTCATCATCGCCATCATCCTCATCTCCATCGACGCCATAACCCTCCTCATCCGTCTACTCCTTCGCCTCCTCCTCCTCCGCGTCCTCATGTTCCGCCTCACTCTTCGCCGGGGCTGAAGAAGAAGGCTTGGCCTGACAAGGCTCTGCTAACTGCTGCGCCCTATTGAATGAATACACCCTTATCACCCAATCGTAACGCCGCGTACGAACACCCCACCTCGGCCAACTTTGGCCGAATGGAGCGAAGGGGGGGAGGAAAACAACAAACAAGCTGCCTGAGTTTCTAAATTCCCGTTTCCTGGCTGCGTCTCCGATGGAAGCCCCCATTGGACACAGCGCACGCGAGCCGCGCGCCCAGCACGAGCACGCAATGCGCCGCGGAGGAAATGGCGGCGAAGGCGAAACAAAGGTCGCAGTCTGAATCAGGCGTAAGTCTGAAGATTTCTACGCGGTCAGTGGCCGAGTCTCCAACTCAGCAGGGCAAACTACGGTGAACGCAGAAACATAGGCATAATGAAACAATGAGAAGCATAAAATTGAAAAGCGACCATGACTTCGGCGCTAAGGTGCACGGGCTCCATCACAATTACTCCAGCGCTGCTAATGTCGCAAAGCACAGAGTTACGCACCATGCTGAAAAAATCATGAAGTTAAACAATCAAATCACGTAGACGAGCATCTGGATCGCAACGCATCATGAGCTCAAATCTCCAGCAACGCGTCACGCGATGATAACCCAGATGTGGATTTAGCTAATAGTGCGTGTCGGGAGCCAACTCGTGCCTTCCGCTAACGAGGTGTTTGTTGGTACCTCGCAAATGCACGACCATGCTTTCTTTGCTCACAGAATCGGTCAGAGCATTGGCCCCTACTTTGACCACTTTGATGTCCCCTCGTCGCACTGTCGCCTGCAACCAGGTTAGCAGACTTCGAGGTGTTCGGCCTTTCCTAATCCACGCCTGCTCGCAATGGTAATGGTTGCACGCGTCTCGCTCTTTACCGATCCACCGCAATCAATCTCGAAGTCCTCGAGAACTGCTCGAAGTCCTAATGCTACGGAGGCCTCCTTCACCGTTCCGTGCTAATCCGCTTCTCCGGAAGAAAACGCAACGACACTCTGGGAAGAATGGCATGACTTTATCAAGTTCAATCCCAATACAACTGCCCCCCCACTTGTCGACGTGCGTCTTCCTTCGCAACCTGCAGGGTCGGTGTCCGTCCCCACAGTTAATCGTTCTTGAGACAAATGCTGATACTCGCACCTGTCGTGGCTCTTCACGTACTTGCCTTATGTTGTGGAACATGCCCATGCCCCTCAGGCTAGGGACGCCACGGATCGCGCCAGCTCCTCGACTGCGAACTGGGCGTCCAAACGGCCCCGCGCAAGATGAATGGCCCGGGCCACTAATGCTCGGCATTACTCAGCGCCGTGACTCGGGGGGAACTCCTCGCCCTCTCCGTCGCGAGGTTCGCTCTCACCTGAACTCTCAATGCTTCCCTTGTTTTGCCAAAGGCCCGATTCCTTGACGAACGCCTCCGCGCGCCGTTGACCCGCCTCGCACCACGGCCCGCTCTGGCACCCTTCCACAAGTCTGCCCAAGACCCTGAGCGACCTCCAGTCTGCTGGCCCAGGCCCGAGGTCTGCCTCGGATTGTGACTTCGAAAACACATTTGAACGAACATTCGAACAAGTCGAGGCTAACAGAAGCATTGCCATGCCCATGCACCGTCAGCCCGATACGCCTCGCTTTCTCGTTGACATGCACATGGCGACGTTTTCCCGTCAACAAAACCGATATCGCGCGCAGAATCACAAGTGGCAGTCCCCCCACTTGCTGGCGACGTCTTGGGTTGCGCACGTCGATTCACAATTTTCCACGCACGCCTGCGTCGCGATCTTCTTCGGGCAACATGACGAAGGCATTATGTTTGATCCTGGCGTGGAAGCACGCCCGCTCGACATCAAATCCACGGCGCGAGCCACTTCTCATGCCCCCGTCGGCCATGCTCAATTCCCTCGGCAACTGTCATGGACAGCGGCTTCTGCGTTTCCACTGGAGGGGTGGCTGCATACATATCTGTATACAGATATATGCATACATCGCAGTGCTGCTCAAGTAACCAGTCTGGATCGGCACTCAGGATTGGGGTCGAGCCCTGTTGGTCTCGATCCACCTCACGTCGATGGGAACCTTGCCACTAGCCGCCCAACAGCCCTCCTTTTTGACTTCCTCGAAGACTTCGCGTCTCCGGAATTCCACCATCTCCTCCTCCCGAGCTTCCAATATGAATCCTGGGTAAAGCTCACCTCCTGGCGCGCCATCCGCGCCTGCACTTTTCCGCGTTCGCGGCGAGCGACACATATGTCACCGCGGGCAACTAGCTACACCCCAGAAACACTCCCGCATGCCCCGCACACTCCTGGAACTGTCTACCACACCTGGTGTTGGCGCACTCCGCATAGCCACTGGCGAGGCTAGACGTCTTTGGTAACTCTGCGAATGCAGCGGCGATGTCGCGCGCCCCCACCGAATTCCCCCCCCGCACCTCTCCCGGAATCTCGCTTGCAGGCCGGTCCTGCAACGCCTCGAAGCACGCGGCGACATGCGCCATAATCCTTCCTTGCCCAGGTTAACGCAGGCCCACGTCCGCACTCTATTCGGTTCGCGCACGATCTCATGAAGAGCACCCCGACCGATCATCGGCCGTCATCTGGCCAGCTGGGCCCCCAAGCACGGCTCGGCGGCATCGGTCCAAATATACCCATGGTCTGCTCGCCGCCTCCCACGGTCAATTCGACGCGCCGACGCTGACCATGGCGCTTCGCGTCGGCGGCCCTTCCGGCGCGGGGGCCGTCGGTCGCGAACCGCGCGGGTTCGCCCACGAGCACCCCCACCTTCTACTACCTGTTATGAGTCATAGCGCGCCCATCGCCATGGCATGTCTGCACGCCCTCGCGGATTGACACCCTGCGCTGGCGGTCCGGCTCGGGGCGCCCGCAAGATCTTCAAGAAGAAAGCATAGCCCGCTGTTTCTCGGAACCTCACTAAATTGCATCGCGAAAGTGAGGCGTTCAAGCCCAAAGACAAACATTCCCTAACATTCCCTTCATCCTTCTGGCCCGAGGCGTTAGATTACAGGACTGCGTTTTCTCCGCCATGCCGGCTAACCGAACTGGCGGGCAGACTTCGGAAACATGCGATTGCACAAAATGATGTCCTTCACCGCATAACCACACTGCACGGCGGATTTCCTTGGTCTGTTTGGTGACATCAGAATCGGCCCTGAGCGACCACTCCCCAACGTCGGCGTCGAACCCCAGCACGTTTAACCCGGCGCGTACTTCCCCCGTGTTCATGTTATGATCATCCTGTTCTTCGCATGCATGGCCGGGCCCACGTTGGCTCATGTTCTCGCCCGCTGGCCCCTGACTAACCCTGACCCCAAGGCGCCCATGAAGTATTTCCTCATCCTCGTCTTCTTCTATCTTCCCTGGCCCCGCCATCGCCCCCGGGCCGCTCCGCCTTTGCTCCTGCCGCCGCTGACCGCGGCAGGAGCGCGCCGGCCGATCGCGCGTCGCCACGACCTCCAAAGATAACGCGGAACTCAATCGCCCATCCCGTCCGAGCTCCTCGCAGATCCCCTTCACCTTCGCGTGTCCTATCGAACGCCATTGCCTCCATCTCGCCAGCGCCCTGATAGATTGCACGCGTTCGTCTCTCATTGCCTTGCCTTCTAAGGGGTCTCACTCCTCGCTAGGCACGTGCATTTTGGTTCTGGGCACGCGATGCCGCCAAATGACTAACCCGCCCTCAAGGCCCAGGCTCGTCTATCAAGGCGTCATCCACACGGTTGTCTTGCCAGGCGCCGTCAGGCCGCATCCCCGCGCGGGCCGCCGCCAACAATTTCCCCCATGACTGTTCGGGCCGTCTTTCCCCTGAAAGTATTCGAAACCTGCCCCTCGCCATTCCGGGCCACGCGGCTCGCGCGCTGCACCCAAAGAAAAATGGCATTGCAACCGCGACCCCACGGCAACGCACTCCGACCTCTTTACAGCAATCCATCGCGACAAGAACGGCCTGACATAATCCATCGAGTCTTGGCTTGCCACCGCCACTGGCAACATCGCCATGGATGGATCGCCCACACCAAGTGCGCTGGAATCTGGATACCAAGCTAACTCTCTCATGCTGGCACTTGCGCACTTGCCTCTAGATCCCATCCCTGCTCTGACCTCCCCCCACGCCTGGACTCGCGGGATTTGATGGCCCCGCGCCGAGAACCGATGATATGATCTAGGCTTGCGTCGCCCATCTCCACAAATACCCCACTCTTCCATCTTGCGCCGAGGTCGATGCATCCCCCTCGGGGCGGAGTCTTCAGACACGCGACGCAATCGCCCAACTCGGGCAATGCCTCCTTGAAC